TAGTTCATACCTAAATCCCATTATTTGATCCTTTCTTCGGCAGTTTCCTTTGCCCAATATAGCTTTGTATGCTACACACCAGGAAAACAAGCGCCTTTTTGGATTTGTGCTTCGGACTTCAGGAGGGAGAGCTGACAGCCGTCCAACCTCAGTCTGCTATATTTTTGAGTCAAATAATGAAGGGGAAAAGGTATTCTTCCCAGGCTATTTATATGTAAACTGCTTCATTTGCCACTCTAAGGGGAATGGAAATAATGGCCAGTATTAACTAGTTATCAGTAATTAGGGGTGAGGAGCATTGGCAAGGTGTTGGAACAATCGCAACTTAAGCAGAGGCAAATTAACTAGTGTTTCCATACTTTTACCTTGTTAAAACAAGATTCTAGCTCCCATTCAAGCTGAAGGAGTTTTGTTTGTGAAAAATTGGTTTGGCTGTGGACAAATGTAATTTTTAATGACTTAAAGGTGGAATAGAGTTGCTGCTTCAGTTTGCCTCGGCTGTTAACTTATACCCTAGTAGCAAGACAAGTGACCTAAATCACTGTAACTTTTAGTGCTGAATGAAAGACAGAATTTGATACTGATAAAATTGTTCTGTATATCTATGCACCCCATGAGGCCCAGGATCTGAAAGTACTTTAATACATGGACCCTTTATGAAGCGTTAGGAATTTGTCTTAATTTTAAAGGCATTTGTTTTGTACTTACTGGATATTTAATGTTTTTTGTTTAGATCTGTGATTCTGTTGGATTGGCAAAACAGATAGCTTTGCATGCAGAATTGGTAAGAGTTTTAAGTAGAAAAAAATACACAACTGTGTTAGGGTGTGTTTAACTAGTGTATTGTATCTAGATAGTTATAGCATGGTGTATCTGGCAACAGTCTATATTAAGACTGTGTAAAGAACCTATTATATATGTGTTGGTATGATTTAAATTTACCAAGAAGAACATAAGGACATACTGGGTCAGACCAGTGGTCCATCTAGCCTAGTATCCTGTCTCCAACAGTGGCAGCAGTGGATGTTAGCGGAAGAGTATTATTGCACCAGCTAGATCTAGAATTATCTATCCCCTATCCATTAGCCTCCCTAGCATCCACCATTATTGGTTTAGATATACCAGATATCCAACCTTTCTGTTCAGAAAGTGATAACCAAGATTTAAGGGGATGGGCAGCTGGATACATTATACCAAGCTAACAGTTTTGTGTCCGTATCTATTCAGTGTTAAGTGGAAACTTAAGCCTACTTCATTCAAGGGTAATGTGGTGAGACCTCTTTTAACTCTGTATTATTACTTGGTCCTGTCCACAGCAGAGTAGGTTTCGTACCAAGATTTACCGGCAGATGGTTTTGCAGCTATATTGTGTTGCTCCTTTTGGCAACAAATACTTCAGGAAATCAAACACTGATATTACTGTCTTAAAGAATGTCCTGTAGCTTTTTACATTCTATTTAACGAGGTGTAGTCTTATATATATCTCTGCACTATAGGGTCGTAGAGCATCAGAAAAGCAAAAAGAAATAGAAAGAGTAAAAGAGAAACAACAGATGGAACTCAGCAAGCAGAAGCAAATTGAAAAAGTAGGCCTTTTACTTATTATTTTACTAATATTTTCTTATTCATGAATATTTAGGCTGCTTTTCATAGCTCTGAAACCAGAGCTAAAATACAACACTCATTAGAAATAGTGGAAAAAGATTGGTTTGTCTTGGGGTTCTTAGTCAATAAGTAATTTTGTGTAGATAATAATGTGGCAAAAGCCTCAATCCTCATATCTGTTTTGGCAAATGCATGCGGTCCCCTGGGCACTGAGCTTTCCTTGTTACCACAGCAGAGGGCCTACATGGCCAGATGCTGTGTGTAAATTCCAAAGCTGTAATGTTAGTGTAGATCCTGATTTGCACAACCTACGGTTGTAACAGGAGATGTAATTAAACACATCTGAGCAAGAGAATGTTTTAAGAGTTAAGCTGTTTTGAAAAAAAATACTTCATCTAATCTCTCCTGCACAAATTAATAATGCATTATTTTACTAGACTTGCATTTAAAATACAGCAAAGTAAATTTTCAGGTTTAAATGACCTCTTATGGTGGTGTCCAACTCATTTGGCCCTGCAGGCTGGATCTGAAGGCCAGAGCTGGATCATCTGCCCCACAAGGGTGAAGTTTGGCCGTGGCACTGTGAATTGCTGCAGTACCCAGAGCAACAGTAGCCCTGAGAGCCAGATGGCATGGCTCTGCTCTCCAGGTCCAGCCCATGGGACTATTCACAGGCCTGGAAATTTGGCAGTAGGATAAGCACCAACAGCATTAATTGCTGTGGCACCAGGAGCTGCTGCAATTAACATTGCCATCCCTTGCTACATCACCAAATTTCTGGCCCCTGGGGAGCCCCACAGGGTGGATGACATGGCTCTGTGACTGGATCCAGCTTGTAGGCAATACCTGGGTCATCCCTGATCTGTTACATAATCTTCTGCATCAAATATCATTATTGTCAAAATGTGTAGTTATTTTGCTGCAATGCAGCTAATTGGTTCTAAGTTGAAGTTTGCCTGGGATATAAAGGCATGGCTTCATTTAGGGGCATGAAATATGGCCTACAGAACCCTGCCCTCTGGCCAGAGGGTCTTATAGGAGGGCTAGGGATTCAGCGGTGGGTCAACCCATCAAAATCCAGGGCATGGAGCCCCATTGGGGATGCATACTGGCAACCAGGGGGTAAGCAGCAGTATTAACCGCTACACCACTGCCATTTGGCCCACCACCATCACTGTATCCAGATCCCGTACACGAAGAAGGAAGCATCTGATGCCCTTGGCTTACTAGAATAAAACAGATGCTTTTGCCGGCTGTGTTTCACACAGCGACAACCATCAAAAAGATTTTTCTATTTCAGTTTCTAAAAAGTCCTTCAGAGTCTGCTGTAGAAGCAGTTCACTAATCAAATTGCCCTTGCTTGGCATTAAACACATCTTAGGTTTGTACAGTACCAGTATCCTGTTTTCATTGTGGAAAATTATGAGATGAATGTTATTTTTATTTCTTCTTTCCCTATTCTCTTCTCAAATTAGGACTTGGAAGAACAAAGTCGATTGATAGTTGCTTCCAGCAGAGCCACTCAAAGCAGTGGAGAGGGACAATTTGTAGTCCTTAGTAGTAGCCAGTCAAAAGACAGTGACTTGGGAGAAGAAGGAAAGAAGAAGAGGGAGTCTGAAGCCTGAGGTTACTTGTTTTATTAAAATTAGAATCTTTGGACATACCTGTGGTGAAATGGCACAAGTTACAGAAGAAGCAAAAATAGAGCTGGGAGTGTCTGCTTATTAAATAGAGACTTAATAATAGGTGGATCCAATTTATGCTTTGCATTTTCTTTATATGTTAATTTACTTTGCCTGTTAATGTAAGAATATTCCTTCTTCCATATGTTAGAAGGAAGCATGGCAGTACTGTCGTATTTGTTACTGTCTCAAGACTTTTAATATCAAAACTTTTTTTCATTTGCCTGGTGGTGCAACTGACTGTTTTGAAGCAAAAAATTAATCTTTTGATTGGACTTGAACAGTACACTGTTCTTTGAATTGCTGTATATAGAACACTTTGCTGGAAACAGAAGTGGGCTTTAAACTAAAACAGCACTCTTCAATATCTAAGTTGTTGCAGAGGATTGTTTCTGGAGTTAGTAAAAAATAATAGCCCCCCATTAACACCAGTCCAACATGCAATAGTTCTAGACTTAAGGGAAAGGGATTTCAATTTTTGTGCACTGGATGGTACTCTCCTGGTTTTCTACTG